CACACTTAGATAATCTAGGGCTATAAGAGATATAAGCAGTCACCGCAAACATCATAGCAACTGTGTGCAGAGATTTCAGGTTACTAAACAAACGTAAAGTGGCAGACCCAGAAGGAATTCATGTGACCAGAATTCAACCACTGACAGATGCTTCGGATGTCTGTGGCAACGTGCGTTTTCAGGATTCAGTGCTCAATGCCGAATTAGCTGATGACTGGCGCACAGCTGCAGTCGGAATGCTACACAAAGCTGGATCTAATTCTGACGCGGAGATTTGTATGATCGTCAGCATAATGTCGGTGATGCTGAAGTACCTGGAACGACTGATTAAAAACAAAATGTACCTACACCTGGGAGACCATACAGGGATGCGATATAGATCTTGAGAAAGGTTCGCTTTACTTTTGATAAGAAATGTACTCCGGACACTACTGTAGCATGCCTTCTTTGAACTGAAACGTTGCAAGTTCACCTGCCAGCGTTTTTGGATGAATTTTCATGGTGTCTGGATGCAGGCCGACTCATCAAGGTATGTTATTCCGGATTTTGAAAGGCCGTTGACTGTCAGTCGTAAGCTTTTTGACATCAAAATACGACAAAGATTCGGTACACAAGGTAAAATCAGGGACTGGACTTGATTGTGGTCGGGATTCTGAACCTGAAACGGCTACATCTTTGGATCTACCAAAGCTCCATGCTAAGTACAACGTTAATTATAACACAATTAACTATCTTAAACACTGCCTTCAAAATGCAGTTTCCATGTTCACTGATCGTATCAAAGTCACCGGAATATCTATAGTTATTCCATTCCTGGTCGATCCGGTCAGATCTATCATTGAATCTAACCAAGTATCGGTGGCTAGCAATCAGCATTCGATCAATGTCTAACGTTAATCAATGGGTCACGGAGGAGATGCTCAGGCTATGTGCTGCACTCCCAAGCAGAAAGTTCAAAGTTTAGATACTCCTGTAAAACCCGGTTTTTTCCCCATCTGGGGGGCTGTTTACAAGCTCGGGGACCTTACTACAGGAGGAATATTCATGTTTGGAATATGATCAGCATCTAGCCATTCAAATGGCAAGTGAACAAGTGAAAGCTATGATCAGCTACTAAGGAATCTTGAGCTATCCTCGCTAAAATGTGAGTGAGTGAAGGTATATCCGATAGAAACTTTCCAAACTGTAAGAGGTTTATCAGAAGTCAACAAAAATGATTTGTGTACGATTGACCGGATTCAAAGCACCAGTGGTTCTTCACCTAAACTCCAATGGCATTACGCTTAGTTGAAGGCTCGGACACATTTAAACACAGGTTCACATAGTTGCCTACAGAAGTGATCAGATACACCAGTACAAACACTTTCAATGTGGTGGTGGATACACATTGATCAATGTCATTCCCGGAGGTTTTGAAGCAGATACCGAAGACCTTTACTTATCGGAAGAGGTCGTAATAGGTAATATATTGGATTATTGCTTTTTAAAATGCTCCAAATAAATTTCTAATGGCATGATATTAATCTTAACAACGGAAATTTTTCGTAACTTTAGGCTCTCGCTGATGTCGCTGAAAGATATTCGTGTTATATCTTCTTTTTTATTATGATAAGCGAAGGTTTTTGCACGCTGGAAACTGGTATAGGCAAAGAAAGGCACAAGGATCAAACTCTTGACGGACAATGAACACCCGCCGACTGCTCAAAGAACCAGACGCTTGATCATAAATGAAATTCCAGAATATGCCCATTAGGACACGAAAAAGCACATTCAGAGGCAAACAGTCGTTTTCACTGATTCATCTTCCAGCTTGTACAGATCAAATAACGAAATGGCATGCTGAACATGGAAAGACGTTCAATACACAAGACTAATTAAAGGGGGTTCTAAATAAAACATATAAAGGATGTCATCCCATTGCCTAGTATTGTTGACCGGTCGAAGAAACAAGCGGACCGACGTGACATATACTGCCACAGTAACTGAAAACAACAGAGTCTATAATAAAGTCCCGCGCAGTGTTACATTCTAGAATGGAATTTTTGACTTTGTTCTCGTCCATTTAGTCTTCAGATAGATTGTTTGAACTGCAGCAATCAGGACTACGGTAACTATAGACTAAGTTAATTGTGAGAGAGATTGAAGCTAATACATAATGCTACGTTTTTAAGCAATCTTGAATGAACATCAGAAAAGAACACTTTTTAATAGCCCTAAGCATTGCGTACGATCTTTCTATCCCTACTGTAACTCAACCCCCAAACTTTCGGTTTGAGAAGCAAACCTCTGACCTTTGAGCCCCACACAGTCGATGGACCAGACTAGTGCACACAGTGTTATGGATCACGGATTTTCTCGATTTCTTTTATCTTAGTTCACATAAACAACGTCCGTGTTTTCGTTTATCTGTGTTAGTCTCACTCTATTGATGGTCAACTAATTTCCTAGAAATTTCCAAAGAATACTGTGCGAAGTGCAACAAAAGGCTCTGTATACCTGTTTTGTCTAGTTTGGAACTCATCAGCGGTGCGTACTTTCTTCCTATCCTTAATGGGACTTGAATAAGGGTGGCTTTACTAACCCGGTATCTTTGATCTAGTATGAAATAAAATAAGAACACCTTTAACCCATACGACCATAAGCTGTCTGCTGTTTCCACGACAAACCCGACAGTTCATCTGCCTTGAGGATTGAACAAAGTTATTTTGAATGGTTTGCTAAATTTTCATTTCACCATAGAATACCGACAAACTATGCCAACAGGGATGGATTCGCTCAACATCCATTGCTCCGCTCTATTCTTTGTAATAACTATCGATTCATGGTATTAAACGCTGGCATATCCTTGAAATCGACAAATGGTATTTAGCTCATTCAAAATTTTTTTTCTTTGTTCGAGCCACCTTTGAACTGTGTGCATTGCACTCACTTCGTACGAGAATCCAACTCTCAAAACTTTGAAGACTGTGTGAGACGTGCATCATTCCTAATGCACTACTTTGCTCACGTACTTCACTTAACCGGAATCCAGCTCATGTACTGACGTAGAAAAGAATGTATATGACCAGCGTGCTAAAACTATTTATGAAGAAATAAATAATCCCACTTAGAACCCTGTTGAAGGTAACCCTGGAAGAATTTATGCACCTCGGCTACAAAGAGAAATAACCCCAATGTTATTACAGTTATGTAAACTAATCCCAGCTACTCATGATCCAATACGAGAAAACACATGCCACGCATATCAGCCGAAGAAATTGACAACAGAGGAATTTATTCCGACGTAATATTTCAATGGCATCAACAAGAGGGAAATGGAAGTGATGCTGTCTTCTCTTGAGGGTTTTTCTCTTTGGTTTGGGTTCTTACTCAAACGGACCTAACCTATTGCGTTGTTTAGATTGATCGTTTGTTGTAATGCATCAACTGTGTTTTAATGTTTGGTCCGTATAAGGCCTTTGTTTTGCAAACTGGACAATCTGATTGGTTCAAGCTTAAATATAAACGCCTGTGATTCCCTTCCCAAATGCGATTTGTGTACGATACACTTAGCTGGAGCGTTTCCTGAAGAACCTACTATTGGCACCTATGTATTATGAAATTTTGATTTATGTTTAATCGCGCATAATGCTTTGGTCATTGCTGAACCATTCCCGGCCTTATAGCCAAAAATCTAAGTGTCCAAGATCGAGTTTAAATGTTGACTACATATCATTTGAACGAATCTCAACATGTTGCGAACCTGCGCATGGACACCATCTACCGTTTGATAAAGATCAGTGTGGCTCAGCTGATAGAGCCTGCATGTTCATGTGCTCCAATCCCACTGAGGCTAGTGAAGTTTGTAACTTCAAAGAGAAAACCTAAATCTGTTTACTTGAATGAAGCTCTCAATCCGAAATTGTGTTTGTTCATAATTTTTTTTGGCCATGTATAGATTATCTTTAACCGGACAGCCGCTCATTTGTGTTTTATGGTCTAATTCAAGTGACATGTTTTGGTTGGATTCGTCCAATCCTCCGTTTACAACCACAGTCATACACTGAGCTGTATGACCAGGGCCAAAAGCATCTCGTCCATTGGCGCAACTGCAACCACCCGTTCGATACCTACCTTAGCTCACATCGGTGTTTGGCTTGCAGCACATTTTCATCACACCCAGTCTCGTAACTAACTTTCTCTTTACTCTCGTTTGTTTTGTTGCAACTTCAACTAATCACATCGGCTCTGAAAACCAGGGTGAACTAACGGCGTATCCTGAATTCCCGATCTTCACTTTTCATACTTCATGGTTATCAAGAAGGGGAATAACTTTGCTGATTTATCTCACGTTAAAACTCGTTGTTAATGTTGTTGTGTTCTTGGTGACCTATAGCAAATTTTATGTGTTCTATCCGCCAGATATCAGTCAATTGTTAAATTCCATAACGATCTTTTCTCCGGGGAAAGTACTACCCGATGCTTTTTGTCTGACCTACTACTCCCTTGAAAAACTGCGAATCTAGAAGAATCCAAGTTTAATTACTAAGACATTATGCAAGTAATGTATATATAATGTTATGCTTAGTAGGAGTTGAGCCGAGTAATTAAGCCATTGATTAATCACCTATCGTGTGTTTAAATTTAAGGACTATCGTGTCTGACAAAGCAAATTAGACTTGCATCTGGCAGCAACCCTTATTTTGGACTTCTACTACTGACCAGTTTAAAATAGCTTCGAGCGTTGATAGACAGATGGTTAAACGGAGATTGACAAGTTTTTGTTTGAAAAGCAGGAAAATTTATCAGACAACGTGCCTTATATGAGAATCATAATGTCAGAAAGCAGACTCAGAAGACAAACACATTTTTGCAAAATTTAATTTGATAATCTTTACCGGAAATCCAATGATCGTCTCTCTCTCGCTCGGAAAAAAAACATTGGCATTGACTCACACAAATGTTTTGTTCGCTCAGATCCGATCATCTAACAAACCAGAGCTTCTGATGGTTGATACATACTAACCCCGTGGGGTTCGCCATGCCAAGCAGATGTAGCGCCCATATCGGAATTGAATAGATAGGAATGGCTCGTGTGAGAAATGCATCCAATAAGAGCCAGTGAGAACAACACACTGCCACACTCGACCGTAGGATTCATCCAAAAAGTTCTTCATCTCTTGAGCCACTTCTTTCATCTCCTCGTCTTTGTTTTGGTGCGATTCGACCAATTTCTTGAATTTTTCGGTCACTTCAACCTGACGCGGTTGAGCCATTGTGGTCGCGATCATCTCGATGTCCTTACCCAGAACCGGGGCTTTTCCTGCTCGTTGTACCTCTCGTTCTTTTTGCTCCACACGACTGAAACAAACGAAAATGAATCAATAGTAATGCGCGTTATCTCGACTCATTAGGATCATTTCAATCAATCATTGATACTTTTATTAGGTGAGAGATTAAAAATAAAGGTTATAACAATAACTATTGCCATGAGTTGTCAATAGAAAACCTGGTGAGCCAATTTTCCACTGACAGTTCGTCAGGTACAATGTTGGGCGAAACAGGTTTCGCGGTTAACTTACACTTCATCAATTCGAAGACCCAGTCCTCGACAAAATTCCATCAAGGTGATTTTTCCATCCTTATCAGCATCAAAATGATTCATCCATTGCTGAATTGAATACAAGGTTGAAAGAAAGATGACTTTAGTGGAATAGGATTTAACACGACGTTGTACGATTTACTATCCATTACTCGAAGTGTGCCTACTATTATGTCTCTGTCATGCTGAGTATAACAATTTTCTGTGCTAAATATTGTGAGAATGTCGGCATTGACATAGAAAATATCGGTTTTTGTAAAATTACAGAGCACGTTCAATCGATATTTCGGTCATCAATATTGGCTACTTCAAAAGTGGAATTTTGCAAGTGGCGAGAAGAACATCGATTACTCACCTTGATGCGATCATCAGAAACACCCTTTTTCCTGTAATATGCGGTCAATTCATTATAGTCCACAGTTTCATCAGCGTTGGTNTTGGTGTCCATTTCCATGAACCACTCAATCATTGATTCGACATCGTTCATTTTGAATGCGCTCATTTTGATCGGGTGTGCGTGTGTATTTTTCTGCACTTGGTCTTGGAATGGGACCGAAGTCGGTGGAGAGTGCTCGGTGCTGTGTGCATTCTATGCTCACACCGGTCCCGTTTTATAGGACATTTTCTGGCTGTGTAGATTGTTCATCAAGCCCACACACACACACACACACACGTGCAAACGAGCGAGCGAACGCCAATTTGTGTGCAAATCCGCCAACAATCTGTCCCCTGTGCGAAAACGCGTTCATCGATGCGCTTGTAGTTGCATCGGCACGCGTCACTAGTATGCCAATGTCAACCTGGCTAGGGCATATTAACCAATAGAGACTTGACTCAATAGTCAATAGGTGCCGACAAAAGATCTGGTAACGCACTAATGAGTAAGCAAAAATGTTTTGTTCAGATCAGGTGAACAGTAACGGCAACTTTGGTTACCGTCACTCCCATTGGCAACAGTCTCAATGTTGAGGTCAATACCATCATCGAAGTGTTTATTCCCCAAAAAGCAGAGCCCCTGTTGCTAGCCTACAGAAGGTTCCGACAACAGTGATTCATGTTCCTTCAGCTCAACTGTGTAATTTTGTAGAACGATAGTAAAAATTACTTGGAACAGTATACGTTAATCCATCTAACAACTCAATACAACTATGAATCTTGACAATGAATGTGGTGTAACAATTGGTAGACCTAATTGTTTTTAATTCCATAGTAACGTTAGTTGGGATTGATCCTATCTGGTCATGATTCTTCTCCTTCTTCTTCCAGACTAGGAGTCATTTTGGCCTATCCTATGATTAGCGAGCAAAAGGACCCCGATATGGGATACTGCGCTCATAATTCACCTGTTTCAAACAGTAATCACGCATTCAGGATGACACTCAAATCTTCACGGTTTATCTACCAGCTTGCGATCAATTATGCTATCGATATGTCGAAGTATCATGTTCAACCATGAGTAAGGACCCATCTTCAAGATAGATTTCGATGACACTATCTAAGCATAGAGTTATGTTACGTCTATGTGAATTTTACCACAGCTATATCAGCATCTAGCGAAAAGTGAGTGAATCTGTCACAAATTACCGGGTAATTTAATCCCGAAGCGCATTTTTGAGAGATAAGTGCCAAATCTGTGCGTTCCATGGACGCATATTGTTTAATGCCATCTGAATCACCGTATATCAACCCAACTGATAACAATTTATGGGATATGTTCTTATTCACGTAAGATGTCCATAGTACAGTTCGAAAAACTTTATCTTTTTGATCTGATGCAAACAAGCGCACAACCATATGACAATAAAACTGAACGGCAGTGGCTCGACTCATCAGGCATTAGAAATCAGAACCGGACAACTCTATCCTCCTCTCTTCTTACCATATCTAATAAAATACTATCCTTACTGCATTTTCTCCTTCAGTTTAGTAAAATCCTTTACACGGGTATTTGATGAAAAACAACAAATCTGTCTAGCTCGCTCATACAAGTGCCTCTGAGCATACCAAGGACAGTTAGGTGTGAAATTGTAGGAGAAGATCGACGAACAGCACGTCTCGTTGCCATAGAAAGGGGAGTCAACAATGCAGTTTATCACACAGCGTATAACAAACGTTCTATAAAAAACCTACATTACGTCTCCATCCGGTCACACGGTGCCTCCCCTCCCTCCATTCAAATCATCACCCATTCGAGTCAACCTCTCAGTGCATTTACACCTGTTGCAGCTGCAATGTATGAGTGTATGCATTGAGAGAACTGACCGATCACTGCGAACTAGAATGGCCGAACACATCCTTAACTGTGTGTGTGTGATTCTATGACAGCCCACACCACGGATTCTGACTGCCTCACGCAGACCGACTTCCGCCATCGCACGTCACTTGGATGAAAGCGGTCACAAGGTAAACCTTGAGAACGCGTTCTCAGTTTTGTTACGTCATCGAGACAAACACCGACTAAGGATAATCGAGGCACTATCAATCACTCACAACAAAAGCGTATGACCTTTACCTTGATTATCCTTTTTTGTAACCAATCATGTGCATCCCACGCACAGTACACAATCAAACGTACGGTTAAACCTGGCTAGATTTCTTAGTTCGTTTCATTTGTCTATCTTGTACAATGTTATACGTACGCAACCGATGAGAGCATACAAAAAGAAATTCCTCTGGCAGTGTTTGTCTTCTGACTTGCCTGTTCAAAATCATGACCGCAAACACTACGCCCCTAGTCGCTGATTAGAATAGATAAGTTGCTTCCCGCGTTGGACACAAACTGGCCATCACTGCTGATTAGGCCCACCAAAGATGAAACCGCTATTTGTTGACACATCAACACTATTTTTTGCACAACCAGAATACGAAAATTTAGGTTATAAATGAACTCCTAAAGAGCAAGACTAACATTAAAAAAACAATACTCGGTTCCTGCATCCGTGAGTTCACATGAGAACATTTTTAAAGAAAGGCGCGTTGACGGATGAGCTGAACTTTGCCAAAAGAAGTCATACAGTAACTTGCAGTTCATCAAATTATCGATGAAATGTTAAATTTCCACAAGATTGATGATACACGGAAGAAATATCGATGTATGTGATATTGCAAAATGAGTGACAGAGAATAAGGTAGGGATAAATCCATCACTTTGTTCTTATTAATCCCATCTTGCAAACAATCCCAGAGCAGTGAACCGTCTTTTCAATTTGATCAAAGCGATTCAAAATTACTTATTCTTCCAGTTCTCCAAATCAGCCGCAAATCGATAAAACTATAAAGCTCAAAATGTGCTCGATAAAAGAATATGGACGATTTATAGCGGGCTTAAAAATGAGCTCATTGCATTTTTTCTCTGATCACTGAGCTATCGGAGTTATATCCACTTTTTTCTTTAGTTGTGTGAGTCTGTTGTTCCATTATCTTTCATCTTTTCTGTTGTCCGGATCTTTTATTCTCACCGTATATTCTGATGCGAAACGTTTAACACCTGCAATGGCTTCTCCGACTTCCCGGTAACTTGTTTTGGGTGCGTTTGAGATTTCCTCTTTATCTGTGCACTTCAGTAGTGTATGCTCTGGTCACTATTCTCCAGGACATGCACTCTTTTGTTGCCGGTTATTTTTAACGAAGAAACTACATTTCACGAACTATTGTGTCCGCACAATCGATGCAAACCGGAAACTTTCTGGCCTACTTGTTTTCCGCAAACCTCTCCTCTAAAATTTGCAGTACACAATCCCAGAACAAACACTCAGAAAGCCAAGGACGAATTCGTTTGTTGTGAAACTAGACAGCTCTGAAAATGAAACAACGCTTTCCAAATATCGACCTGAATAAAGGGCACAGTAGCTCAATGATGCACAATTTATTTCCGTTCAAATTTCTCTGCGTCTATTCGGGTGCATAATACAATCGAAGAAATAGATTAAACCTAGTGAGTACCAGTTACGGTGAACGAGGTATTGGTGGTAAACTGTATTATTTTTGAGTTTTCATTGTGTTCTTCAACTTTATTATGTACCCAAATGGATGCAGTAAAATGCTCCTGAAATAAATTGAGCCACACTATGTTGCTGTCTTCTTTATTCGAGATCTACAACTGTCTTTCAGTTAGCTGCTCATTCTGGTCCCTTGCCAAAACAAGTTTACTCTTCAACCAGTTAAGAAAGCTTCCGGAAATCTGGCCTTTGATCCCCCTCCCAAAACCAAACAAAATGGCTGGGATATTAGACTCCGTTTTGTTTTTGGTTTTGCCAATTCTTCATCCCTACTCTCCTCAACTTTCGCTTCAGAGCTAGTCCCTTTCCCGATCATTTTTTTCAAGAAATGTTTTCTAAATGTTGCATCCTAGGATCCTAATGATTCCCACCTTATCTCCCTTACCTTCTTCCTCTCTAAGGCCCTCGAAGCAGTGATTGTAAAAGAACCTCGTTGTTACTCGGAGAAGTGCAAACATCTGAGTGGACGTCCTTATGGATTCCGGTGCCACAGATTCATTGCAAACCTGTTGACGTAACCGTTGCACATTTGGTCTTTCACCGTCGGCCAAAATTACAAGTCCATTTCTGTTTTGAACAAAGAGCGCAACACTGTAAACGAATCATTTCGCTGCATCTCAACAGGTGCTTACTGCAGAATACAAATCATATTCATGGCTAGTTTGGAGAACAAAGCCAGTAGAACATTAAACAACATTGTACACTACAGGAGATACGCCGATGATACGCTGATAATCGCCCGAAGCGCCAGGGAGACCGAGCAATTGTTGGTTGAGCTGAATTCCCGTCACAAAGACATCCAGCTCACCATGGAAACTGAGCAGAACAACACACTCCCATTTCTAGATATTGTTATTGGGCGAAGATCAGACGGAACTACCTCGAGGTCCGTGCGTAGAAAATCTACGTGGACCGGCCAGAATATGTACTTTGGGAGTTTTGCTCTGATCCAATACAAATGAGGTCTCGTGCGTACCCTATTTGACCGGAGTTTGTATCCTCCGGATAATGTGGAGAGTGAGATAACTCGGTTCATTGAAACTCTAAAGCTCATTGGTTACCCAGCGAGGTTTACACAAAAGTACAATGTACAAGCAGCACCAAAATGAAAGGTTCTCATTCATCTGCCATTCAAAGGTGATGATGTGGGTCAACTTGTACGAAGACGGCTGGTGGCATCGTTAGCCCTCAGATATTTTGCTGCAAATCCGGTCGTTTGCTTCACCACAACCCAAATTCCGAAGCCCTTAGTGAAATCATCCCTCCATCTTTTCGCCAAATCACACGTTATCTATGAATTTCAATGTGGGTGCAGAGCCACCTACGTGGGCAGAACAGAGAGGCAGCCGTGCATCTGAGTGGTAGAAGATATAAACGCGAACGGATCAGATTGAGGGCTACACAAGCAACCAGCACTCCGAGCCAACCGCACAGAACACCCGCATCATCAATTGCTCTCTATCTGCTGCACACTGGCTACCAAGCCGAC